AGAGGCTGGTGTTGAACTATATTAAGGCTACTTCCATCTATTTTGGACCCATGCCAATTTGCATATAGGGGCAATAGATCAACTGATGATGCTATGTCACTTGTTGTCCATATTGTATTGAATCACTTGGAACAACAGGGGACATATGCAAGGCTGTTATTTGTGGATTATAGCTCTGCCTTTAACACCATTCTACCCAATAGGTTGTTTTCTAAAATGTCCAATTTGGGTATAAATCAGAGGATTTGCTTGTGGATAAAAGATTTTCTGACAGGTAGGCCACAGTCAGTAAGGATGGGATCTCACCATTCCTCTACTCTGATATTAAGCACAGGAACCCCCCAGGGTTGTGTGCTAAGCTCTTTCCTTTATTCCTTGTATACGCATGACTGTACCCCACTATATAACACCAACGCAATTATTAAATTTGCGGACGATACAACAGTGGTGGGGCTCATTAATGAGAACAATGAGTCTGCTTACAGGAAGGAGGTACAAGGGCTGACATTGTGGTGTAATGAAAATAATCTTACACTTAGCACCACAAAAACTAAAGAACTTATAATTGACTTTAGGAGGAAGAGAGATGTACATCTACCATTGTACATAAATGATGAGGAGGTGGAGAGGGTGGGTAGTTTTAAATTTCTGGGCACTTATATTTCGGAGGACCTCTCATGGACTATGAATGCTAACATGCTTGTGAAGAAGGCACAGAAGAGGCTGTACTTCCTGAGAATGCTCAGGAAGATAAATTTATCTCAGCGTCTACTCCTGTCCTACTATCACAGCACCATTGAGAGTGTCCTGACATACGGCATTCTTGCATGGTATGGGGGCAGCTCTGTAGTGGACAAAAAAGCTCTACAGAGGATTATTAAAACTGCCCAGAATATTATTGGACTCCAACTACCATCCCTGGATAACATCTTCGAATCTCGTTGTTTGAGGACGTTGCATAACATTCTCAGAGACTCTTCCCATCCTGCTTACAATCTTTTTTGACTTTTGCCTTCTGGCAGAAGATACAGAATAATTAAAACTCGGACCACACGTTTTCTGAATAGTTTTTATCCCAGAGCTGTAATTGCACTCAACAACGAACTAAGGGGCCACCATCAGTGAACTGTTGGACAGTATTACTTGGTCTGTTGTGTGGATATTGGGTGGTTTTAGGGGTGAGGATTGTGGGGGGGGGAGTGTGTTGGGGATTATGTGTGTGGGACTTGGTTTTTGGGTGTCAAGTAAATTTCGTTGTATATGTATACTATGTACGCACATACAATGACAATAAATAAATAAATAAAAGAAGAAGAAGAAGAAGAAGAATGCAGTGACAACAAGATGGACCCTTAAGAAGCATGTGCTTAAGACAGGATTAAAAGCAAATGATGATTGAATACAAAAATGAATAGAGAGAGCTTCTTTGGTCCTAGAGAGAATGAATAAAAATCAAATTGCTAAACAAGTATATGAAAGAAGTATGAATGGGTTGAGAGGAAAACATGAAAATTGTGATTGAGAGAAATTGTGAGAATCCCAATCACAAAGGTACAGACCTTTGAAGAACAAAAGATACATAGGGTCATGATGGAAACAAACATGGTTTGCAAGGAGGAAATGTATGGAGAAGATTTGGTGCTGGTGAAAACTAGAGTTAGCTGTATTTCCTTTTTTTCTTATTTCCCATCTCTTTAATTTCTTTAACTTTCTATTTCTTATTGATTTCTTTTGTAATTTTCCTAATATTGCTTATCATTAGAGGATATAATAGGTAATCCTTAATTTATGATCATATTTGGGACTAGAATTTCTGTCATAAGTTAGTATGGTCATAAAAGGAGATGTCATATGACTGTACTGACCTACAACGTCATTCCTGGTGTTCCCTGTTGTTAACTTAACTTGTACCCACCCCGATCCAAGCCATTCTGGGGTTGGTCCCACCCACCGTGAGCCTCAGTAAGGTAAGGGACTGCCTCCAACTTGCTCACCTGCCTATCTCCCACCACCACCTATGCCGTTTTATCGCCCTGCATCCTGCATTGTGGGGTCGCAAGCAACCTCAGAACTGTGTTTCTGTCTTGTCCTGCCCCAGCCACAAAGGTAAACCCTCTGGTTCCAGTGTCTGAACGGACTGGATCCTGCAATCCTTATATCTTTACTAAGAAGGTTTTCAAACAGAACTAATACAAAATGTTTGAACAAACAAGAGGACAACTATAGTGAGATAAAATGAGAGTTGAGGTCCATGGCTCTCCTTATATAGGAGTAGTGTGAGGTCCATGGCTCTCCTTATATAGGAGTAGTGAGAACCGAATTTATTCCATTGACAGGTCAGGGTTCTTTCTGGCCAATAGTCTTGCTAAGCACCTTTGTTCAGCCCTCCTCTCAGGGTGTGTCCTTGCATGGGGAGGGGGTGTTAGCTCCTCCTTTTTGTCTTCTGAGGCCTGTAATAACTGCCTCTCCTGGTTGCTAGGCAACTCTTCCAGCTGAATCCTCTCAAGCTGATAATCTTCTGCATCTTCTCAGTCTAAGCTGTCCATGACAGTGGCTCTGGGGCAGCTTGTCATGCCTTGGGAATTCTCAGCCTGCCCGAGAAAGTGCCAGCAAGCATTCATTCCCCCAGCTGCTGCCTTTTCCAGTTTCTCACACCAAACCTTCACCCTTTGTGGTTGGCAGCTGTAGTTGAGGCAGAAGCGCCTTGCTGTCTTTGCATTTCCTTTTTGGACCCAGCTTGCCCGCAAATGTTTCCTATACATGGCTAAAGCTGTGCTATTTTTGGAAAGCTTCTCAAAGTCAGTGCAGTTTTAGCACATGGAGCTAATGTTCGCGGAAGAAGCTGGGTCTGAAAATGAAGCAGTAAAAGGTATCTGAAAAGGAGGAGCAAAGGCACCTCTACTTTGCCCAAGATGGCTGGGTGCAAAACACAAAAGGTTGGTGTGGGCAATTGAAAGAGAAGGTGGGGCTGATTGCCACCCCATCAGGGTGGGTGCAGGGCAGAGTTGGGGAAGATAGGCAGGTGGGGAGATTGAAGCACTCATAAGTATGGACAGCCTGCCAAGGGCCTGAATTTTGATCATATGAGTGCAGGACCATTGCAACACCATAATTTTGGGCAAGGGTCCTTAGTCCATTTTTTCCACACTGTTTCAAAAGGTCACTGAATGAATGGTCATAACCATCTGTAGAGAGATGGGTATATGTATTGTTTAGTCCAGATATACACCCAGTAATTCAGAATAACTGAGACAGGCATGCTGTTTTCTCCCTGGGGAGAATGAGATTTGAAACTTTGGTGTCTGAGCTTCTTGATAATTCACTAATCATTGGCATGAAAGAGATGCTTAAATTGTATATAGAAATATTCATTCATGACTGAGAAATATTGGTTTTAGACATTTATTATAGAACAATTTAGTCACAAATCAGTACTCAATGTAATTAGGACCACCAATGTAATTAGGTTCTAATTACATTGAGTACTGATTTGTGACTAAATTGGGATTATTATTATTAGGATTAGGATTATTATAATAATTAGGATTCTTATTATTATTATTATTATTATTATTATTATTATTATTATTATTATTATTATTATTATTATTATTATTATTATTATTATTATTATTATTATTATTATTATTATTATTATAGAATCAAGATAGAATAGATAGGATAGATAGGATAGAATCAAGATCACGTGAAGTGTTAATACCACTTTACAATGCCTTGGTAAGGCCACACTTGGAATACTGCATCCAGTTTTGGTCACCGCGATGTAAAAAAGATGTTGAGACTCTAGAAAGAGTACAGAGAAGAGCAACAAAGATGATTAGGGGACTGGAGGCTAAAGCATATAAGGAACGACTGCTGGAATTGGGTATGTCTAGTTTAATGAAGAGAAGGATGAGGGGGGACATGATAGCAGTATTCCAATATCTCAGGGGCTGCCACAAAGAAGAGGGTGTCAAGCCATTTTCCAAGGCGCCTGAAGGCAGGACAAGAAGCAACGGGTGGAAACTAAGCAAGGAGGGAAGCAACCTAGAACTAAGGAGAAACTTCCTGACAGTTAGAACAATTAACCAGTGGAACAACCTGCCTCCAGAAGCGGTGAATGCTCCAATACTGGAGGTTTGTAAGAAGAGACTTGACAGCCCTTTGTCCGAAATGGTATAGGGTTTCCTGCCTGAGCAGGGGGTTGGACTAGATGACCTCCAAGGTCCCTTCCAACTTTACTACTACTACTACTACTACTACTACTACTACTACTACTACTACTACTACTACTACTATTATTATTTGTTTTGTTCTGCTGGCAGAAAGATCTGACTGCTGGCCTAGCGACAGATTCTATTGCAAATCAGGGCTGTTTCTGGAGGAGGCATAGGAGGAGAGGTCCCGGGGCTTATGGAGCGAAGGAACTGGATGAGGCTGTCGGCAGGCCCAGAGGAAGGGAGAGAGGCTTTTGGAGGAGTTGGTGGCGGTGGCAGTGTGCTCCAGGGGCAAAAAGAAGCAAGGCCTCTTTAAGGAAAAGGTGGAAGAGTCAGGATCAGAAAAAGGAAAGGAGGCGAGGTTGTCCTGCAGGAATTCAATCTAATTTGAGGGCTAATCCACACGGAGCTCCATTTCCATCTGTTCTGTTTGTCATCGTTTGCTCCCTAGAGATTAAAATGGACGATCTGAAACTTCAGCTGGAAACCACGAACAAGGAGTGTATGTCGGAGGTGGTGGCCCTTTGAGAGCTATATGCAACAAAATTTTATTTTGGTGTATGCCAATTGGTATACATTCAAAGTGACAATAAAGTTGTTGTTATTGTTGTTATTGTTATTTTCAAATCCTTTTCTTATTTGGGAATGTATCTCCTCCAAGCAGCCACTCTGTGAAGTATATTAGATTCAGAGATAGTGATTGACTCAAAATCACTTGTGGATTTTGCATGGGTGGGTAGAATCTGTTCTGCAATTTTCCATACTTAGATGAAATAGAAAAGCATGGTCAGATACTTTGACCCCCGTTATATTATTACCTGTGTCAGTTGCAGAAATCCAATTGAAGAGAATGAAAAAAGCCAGACCAAAAATGTCTACAACCAGGTAAGACTATGAAAGAGTTTTCTGTCATATGTCAAAGCTAGTATAGTATTTCTGCAATATCAGCCCACTTCCTTTTTAGAGTACACTGTAGAAATAATGACCTTTGTCTTGGAGAAATTGATTAAAGTATTTTTTTTCTCCTGATCCTACATGATATTAGCTAAATAGTAAAGTTTGGCAATGAGTATCCAATAACAGTTACAGTGTTTCCTTATGTAGGCATGTTCATTATTCCTTTGATCATCTAAAACCTTTTTCTTTAAAACAGTGGCGACAGGAAAAGGACTGTCCCTTTGAGTTTCTTCTGATGTCTCCAGAATTCTAGTTTACATATTAAAAAAATGTTTCTGCAAATTAATTGAGTCCTTGATGCTCTCTGAGCTTGGTTATTTGATTGCAGATATTTCATTACCCACCTATGTAACAACATCAGTGCTAAGGAGTGTGGGGCTTGTTTCCTTTTTAAATACAATATTTTGCCCATGGAGTGTGGTTTTCTCCTTAGTAGTTCTTGATTAGGGCATTGTTTTCTGCTTGATTGTCTAGTATTAATTTCTCCTTATCTGGGTGTAGGCTGCTGGAGAGAAGTATTCTGGTCTTTTGGTTTCCTTCTTAGTTTTCTTATCTCTTTGGAATGGTGTATAAATTTTAATTCATTAATGCTTATGTTAATTAATTTAATATTGATTAGCTGATTAATGGATGTTGATGTTTAATTAATCAATTAAATTAATTAAATGTAATTAATTATAATAGTTACCTACAAATAATTTAATAAATTTGGAGTGTTTTTATGCCAGGCTTCTGTACTTTCTTCTTTCCCTTCAGTAGAGGAAAAGCAAAATTCCAGTAGTTCTAGACCAGGGGTCTTTAAACTTGGCCCTTTTAAGACTTGTGGACTTCAACTCCCAGAATTCCTCAGCCAGGCACGCTTGTGGGATAGCAGATTTCCATTCAAAAAAAAAAAAATGCCGAGGGTGTATAAGCAAATTACCCCTGGCAAAATTGATTGATACCCTTTTAGTAAGAAATAAAGTAGGCTTTCATCTATATTTTCAAAACGTGATGACATTTGAGGCTTTTTTGGTACTCTTTTGATGTAAGATCTCATAAAATATGGATATTATCCTAGAATTATGGAATTTTACAAATGTGGAATTTTATGGAGGAGGTTTCAGATTACCTCCTCCATTTAGAACCTCTCAGGGATCTTTAAACATAACAATATTTTCAGGAGAATCCCTTCCCATTATTCTGAAGTTATTACCAGGAAATGCTAGAGGGTAAGGGGAGTTTGCAAACAGAAAACACACACAGCAGTTGCCTTTCTTCAGGCATATGTTATGGAATCTTATGCCAAAATACCTGTGTGAGTTGGATGTCCTATTACTGTGAAAGGTTGTGCCTCTAATACAGGAAAATTTGTTGTAGATCATTTTTTAACACACCAGCATGCAGTAGAAGTCTTGAAGAGAGAGGGACCTTGGAATCAATAATGCTACTCATTTAATGTTGCGTGTTCTAGCTTTAGGTCTGTAAAGTGTTAACTTCAGTTTTAGACTTGCAAAAATAAATAGTCACATGCTAGCTCCCTGTGTTTATTGCTTATTGACTCTTGCTTGTAAACTACAGGATTCCAGAACCTGGGGTGCCTAATGACAATAGAGTATGATTCTCTCCATGTTGCTTGTTTGAAAGTTTTGCCATTGGGGCCTGGTAGTCTTGAATGTTTAACTTGAATCAGTTTATGAATGCAAATATTTTTTTCTCTTTCATGCTTACCATATAAACACCTTGCAGAAAACTGCAGTAAACTGTAAGTAAATGAAACTTGGAAATGATCCAGCATTGAAAATCTTAGCTGGTTATTGACATTTTCCCTCTTACAAAATCTTAGCTAAATCTCTATCTGCAAAACCCTATAATTTAGTCTCATGTTTCAGTACTTTTTAAAGTTTGTGTTTATAATACCTGGGTTTGATATTTATTTGTTTTGTGCTGCTTGGCTAGGACTGTGTTTGGTTATTATGGGAATTGCAGTTCAGTACATTAAAAGGCATTAGGCTTTTTGCTGTGAAGGATTCTTATATTGATAGGTTCAAGAAAAGCTATAAATATAAATGGTGTGCCCCAAATCAGAGATCACATAAAGTATAACTCTATTTTACTATTCAGAAACATAAATTGGGCCATTACGGTGCAGATAATTTATTGGTGATTTCACTGGTATTAGTTGGTTACTTTGGGGACAGGATCTCCATTTTATCCAAGCATCTGTTTAAATACATGGGGGTGGGGAGAGTGGGGGTGGTGGTGGTCCAAGGAAACAAAGTAGAAAAGTAGAGCCTAGCTAAATTTCTTTTGCTCTACATGGAAAACCAACTTCAAATCCAATGTTTCATTCTAAAATGAAACATTGGATAGCACATTAACAGCTACATGGTTTAAATAATAAAATACCCATTTTACCAACAGGAGATTAAAGCTCTTTACTCAAGGCAATTGGATTTTCATGATGTCGGGTCAGATCTGGTGCCGTTCATTCTTCTAGGCAAGAAAAGGCAATGAGCCTCAATTTCTTGCTCGGAAAAAAAGTATTTTGTGCTGTTCGGGGACGAGGGGAGATCCAAACTTGAAATAAAAAGGAAATGTTTGATGTAAGCATATTGGACATCTTGCCTCCTGGAGTTGTGGACAGCCATTAGTCTGGGTTGTATAAGGATGTCGGGTCCATCCCAACTCAGTCATTTAGAAAATAAGAGCCTTCGACTGCATTATTAATGAAGGGAATAACTTTGCTAAAAACAAGTGGTTACAAAGCCAGGTCTGGGATTTGTGTGTGAAATCTGCCCATTTGCTTTTCCCTTTTTCAGTTTCCCTCCTTCCCGTTATATGTTTAGTGTCCATTGAAATTCAAACAAATTGTTTTGTAACTGTCCTGTTTCTTGGCGGACTTGGTGATGCTCCGCATTCCATTCCCATACTTGTGGCCTCGAGGTCAGATGGCTGATGTCTCTGCCAGCATTCACTTCTGACTTTTCTCCCTCTGGTGTGTTAGCTCCCCTCTGTCCGGGACTTATGACAGTCTGGCATCGTGGGTTCATATTCTAGGGAAGAAGTAGAAAGTTAAAGACCTCAAGGTCCTTTCCAACCATATATTTTCTTCTCCAACAAAGACAAGCTGGCCATTGTAGGATGGAACAGGGAACTGACATTTCTCATACCACTCTGATAGGGGTAACAGAATTACAGTTGTCATAGCAAGTGCTCCAGCTGGATTGCCTTCTCTCTTTTACCTGAGTTTTTTTCCATTGCCTTACAGTATATAAGCAGAACAGACAAGTACTGGTAGGTACTCCAGTCTATACAGCATTGGGAATTCTAGTTTCTTCTCTTTCAAATAATTTTGGATAGTTCAAAGAAAACTGCTTAGAGGTGTTCCAGTTAGAATGCCTGCAAGACGACTCTTGCTGTAGAGGAATGGCGAGTGTAAAGAAATAGAGATCCTCACCTTATTACTGGCTAGGAGTCATGAGAGTTGAAGTTTGGCACATCAAGAGTTTTCCAGGTAGGGACAACTGATAAACGGAACTCTTAGTTGAATGTTGGTGATGTACCTTTGATTTTTCTGAGATGTGGAAAAAAGAAGTAGAAGAAACTTTGGTAATTTTTCTATGACTGTTGATTTGGCTTGTAGCCCTTATCTGTCCAGATCAGGACCGCACATGAAGTTCCAATTAAACGGATTTATTACTAATCATGCCTACACACAGGAATCTATTCAACTAACGGTTAGCACTTTCTTGGTGTTCAAATAAAGGTCAATGGAATTCAAGAGGGATTGGACTTAGTCACTTTGTGGCTACATAGAGACTCTATGCTTATGAAATAATAGAAAATACTTATAGCTCGGGTTTTAGATTTGGGCTGTGGTTTGTTCTCTAAGCTTGCTTCAATATAATTTCTGAACGTTTCGTTACCAAATTAGATAACATCAGCAGCAGGATTTTCTTGTCCTAGTCTCCTTAGTTTATAAATATCTTGTGTGCCAGTGTGGTCAGTTGGTCGTGCAATTGGTTGTTTGTTTGGAGCTATATTTGAATTCTGAGCAGCTGACCAACTGACCACACTGGCAAAACAAGACATTTATAAGCTAAGGAGACTAGGACAAGAAAATCCTGCTGATGATGTTACCTAGTTTGGTAATGAAACGTTCAGAAATTATATTGAAGCAAGCTTGGAGAACAAACCACAGTCAACTCTATGCTTATTCCTGTGTTGATGCTGCCCCAGGTTCACTCCTTCTCTTACATCATCTTTATCTAATATAGCAGAAAGAATGTGTATGACGAAAGTTAAGATAATGCCTAGGAAGTTGAATTTAATTCACAAAAGCTTTAATAATTTTATTGGCAGGGGCAGAAGGAACAAAACAAAACTTCTACTTGTTTATTTTTTCCCTTAGAAAATTAGGGGAATTTGTACGCATTATTATCTTTTTAAAAGTTGTACAGTAAACACTTTTTCCATTAATGAAGTTACCCCCCTTTATCCTATTTTGTTTGCAGTTGGAAAACATAATTCTTATAACAATTGCCAAAGGTCAGAAACTGCCAACAGGGTGAATACATTTGGGTATTGAATAAGAATTGAAAGTAAAGTTATATAATCATTTTTTGTTAGCTTGTTAAAATAATAAATCTGAACTTCTTGTGCTAGATTTTGTTGTGCTGCACTTGGAAAATGTGGGGAATACTTTAGCATTGTATACATATTTTTTTAAAAAATGATGAAGGACTTTCAAATGATATAAGTTGTAAAATGCAAATCAAGTTTGAATTAAGGAAATGCTTTATGCTCATTAGGCTTTTAGTTTTAAAAATTCAGTTTTAAAATCTTGCATATAAAATGTGTCTTTAAATATAAAGAATCAGAACACTGCTGTAGAATTGTTCCCTGGCCAATTTTTAATTTAATTGACAATATTAATTAATCAAAGT